CAGTCGCTCGGGCCCCCCCGCCCGTGCCGCCAGCTCGGTGGTGGCCCCAGGGGGGGGGGGGGTCGCCCGGCAGCCGCCGCCACCCGGCCCGGCCTGCGCAGGCTCACGGCGCCCCTCTCCTCCGGAGCGGCCCTAGAGCGGCACCGGCCGGCGGCGGGAAGGGCGCCCCCCGGCGGCAGGGAGGACCGATGTGCAAGGGGAGGGTTCGGGGTGGGGGGGCACAGCACTTTGGGGCTGTATCCCTGTGTGAGGGGGATAAAGGCGGTCTGTCCCAGCTGCCAAGGTTAAAAGAACGGCCCAGAGAGCGGTGGGTGAATCGGGTGAAAGCCAGTTGGAGGCCGGTCACGAGTGGTGACCACGGGGCTCGGTACTGGGCCTGGTTCACTTTAATGTCTTCATCAACCACCTGGATGAGGGGATGGAGGGCACCCTCAGTTTGTAGATATCACCGAGTTGGGTAGCAGCATTGATCTCCTCGAGGGTAGGAAGGCTCTGCAGAGGGATCCGGACAGGCTGGATGGATGGGCCGAGGCCAATGGGATGAGGTTCAACAAGGCCAAGTGGTGGGTCCTGCCCTTGGGTCACACCAACCCCATGGATGCTCCAGGCCTGGGGGAGAGTGGCTGGAAAAAGGACCTGGGGGTGTTGGTCGACTGTCGGCTAGACATGAGCCAGCAGTGTGCCCAGGTGGCCAAGAAGGCCACCAGCATCCTGGCCTGTATCAGGAACAGTGTGGCCAGCAGGACTGGGGCAGTGATGATCCTCCTGGACTGGGCACTGGTGAGGCCCCACCTCAAGGCCTGTGTCCAGTTTTGAGCCCCTCACCACAAAAAAAAGCCATTGAGGTGCTGGAGCGGGTTCAGAGAAGGGCAACGGAGCTGGTGAGGGGTCTGGAGCACAAGTCTTGTGAGGAGAGGCTGAGGGAGCTGGGGGTGTTGAGCCTGGAGAAGAGGAGGCTGAGGGGAGACCTTCTGGCTCTCTCCAACTCCCTGAAAGGAGGGTGTAGCCAGGGGAAGTTGGTCTCTTCTCCCAAGGAACAAGCGATGGGACAAGAGAAAATGGCCTCAAGTTGCACCAGGGAAGGTTCAGGCTGGATATTAGGAAAAATGTCCACACAGAAAGGGTTATGAAGACTTGGAATGGGCTGCCCAGGCAAGTAGTTGAAGCACCATTCCTGGAGGGATTTAAAAGCCGGGTTGACACAGTGCTTAGAGACATGGGTTAGTGATGGTTTTTATCAGAGTTAGGTTGATGGTTGGACTTGATGATCTGAAAGATCCATTCCAACCTGGGCAATTCCATGTTTCTATGATTTCCAGGTGAAGGCCATGCCTGCTCCTCCTCCCCTGCCTCACCTTCCTGCCTTGACAGCCATGGCCACTACCCCTGGGCACAGCCCTACCACACCACATGGGTGCCTCATCCTGCCCCCCCCTCCAAAGCCTGCTCTACATTTTGGGCAGTTTTCTCAGCTGTTGGTGACTTCCCGTCCAACACTGCGCCCAATTTAGCCACCCCCAGTGACTAAAGCCCGGCTGTGGGGCTCAGGAAGGCCTCTCATCACTGAAAAGACACTTCCCCAGTCAGAAAGGGTACTGGGACAATCACAAGGTTAGTGTTTATCTGGGTGTATAAAATTTGTACTGCCACTGTCCCGTTTTTCCATATATTTGCATTCCTGGCTCACTTTCTTCCAGTTCTGCGCACCTTTCCAAAACTATTTTGGGCTTTCTCATTGACCAAGGACTTTCTATCACCTTCCAACCTGCTGGATCACACTACTTGAGGAAAAAACCCAACAACCCAGACCCACATCTTTCCC